GTGGGTGGTAGAGCGCAGGCCCGGGAAGAAAAGCCATGGACGCCCGTGATCACGGGATGCTACCGCCGTAGCCCCCTAAACACAAAGTCCCTCGTGCAGCCCCCCACACCCCTGCTTTCCTGTCCTTTCACCCCAACCCCATCTCCCTCCTCCCTGGATGTCACCAGACGCGCCCCTCCCCTCCCGGGGGCCCCTCTGTGACGCGCCCCCCCCCCGAGGCCGCTCTCCATCCTGGCCCACTCGGACAGCTTCTGTTCCCGGGCCCTCCGAGTCACCTGTGTCCACAGCAACTCTGACACAACAGGCCCCCTCTTGGGGTTACTGTCCGCCGGACGCGCCTGGGCTGCAGCAGCGGCTACTGCCTGCTGCTCGCCTCCGAGACGCAGAATCTCGCTCCTCCTGACAAGCGTTGCTCATTCCTCGATCCCCCCTTCTTCCCCAGCACTGCCGTCTGCGCCCCGGTCAGGCTCCAGGTGCTGGGGGTCCCCCTCCATCTCACTGTCTCTCTCCCCCTCTCCCCGCCTCTCTCTCTTGTTCTCTCCCCACCTGCCCCCCCGCCAGGCCCGGCCCCAGCGACACCTGCCCCCCGCCAGGCCCGGCCCCAGCGATCAGTTGCGTCAACTACTTTTCTCCCGACCCTGGAGGAGCCCCGCCCAGAACTACTGAGTTTCCCGCCTCAGATGCCTCCACATCGGGGTAAACGGCATCAGCACGCCTGCGCCCCACTTCGACTCCTAAGCTGGTGGGTGCTGCAAAATAAAGTCCAGTGCACGGGCTAACTGCCCTCTTTAAATACCCTCCCCCCACCCCCCCGCCTCAGCCAGGGCCCCAGATGCTGAGCGACCCCTTCGCTTGCCTCCGACTGACAGCCCGCTGGGCACCTCGGGTTGGCAGTTTGCTGGGGTGTCTCCTTCACCCGCCGCTGTCCCCATATCCAAAGTCATTGCAGGAGACTGGAATGTGTCCATATGGAAGTCATTTGAATGACTCGCCCGTTACTCCCGTGCATGTTTCCTGAGAGACAGTTATGGACCCCACTACGCTTCTAGTCTAACCTTTTCAGGCCACGTCCTAGGGGGGTTCTTCTTGCTCTTGATTTCAAAAGGCGTGCGTGTCTCCGTGCCTCTCTCTGCCCCTGTCTGCTCTCCCGGAGGATGAAGGAGCCCCCCTTCTTCCTCAGGGGGGTGCATTTCCCTTTCACCTTTCTTCAGAATGCTGCTTTGTTGGTTGTCTTTGAGTTTCTGGAGTCCATACGTGAGGTACCAAGGGGAAGTTGTCCTGGCGTTTACCTTGCCTGATGCTCTGTGCGCTCTCCGGGTCTGCGCTGTGGCGTCCGCCGTGAACTTGGGGGGAACTCTCCATCCTTGTGATGCAAACCTTGCCCCTTTGTCTCTTTCTTCTCCAGCTGGTATTCCCACTCTATGTCTATTGTGCCTCATGTGGTCGTCTCAGTCCTTGGATGTTCTGTTGTGTTTTTCAGTCTTTTGGTCTCTTCGCTTTTCGGTTTTGGAAATTTCTACGGTCATACCCTTAAGGTTGGTGATTCTTAGCCGTGTGCGGCCTGCTAGTGAGCTATCAAAGGAATCACTCATTTCTGCTACGGTGTTTTTGATCACTAATATTTTTTACTCTTTCTTAGAATTTCCATCCTGGTGCTCGCCGCTTTTGCACGTTGTTGACTTTTTCCACAAATGCCTTCAGCGTTTCAGTCACAGTTCTTTAAAATTGCTGGTCTGATGATTCCAACATTCCTACCATATCTGGTTCGGACGGTTATTCAGTTCCTCAGACTGTTTTCTGGTGTTTGCTTTGGCTTGTGGCGTTTTGTGGGGAGCTGGATACGGGGCACGGGGTCAAAGGAGCTGGGTGGACAGCCTGTGGTGATGCGCTGGGGAGCGCTGTGTGGGAGGGGAGGCGCCGTTGTGAGTGGGTCGCAGTTTCTCTGGGAGCCAGTGACCCGGGGGAGGGGTCAGCGATCAGATAAACACGCCGGGAGGATGCACTACTGCACACGCGAGCCGCAGTAGTCCATAGTGCCGTGCTGCCTGTGTGAGAGTTGTGAGGAGAGTAGACCTTCAGAGTCCCACACAAGAAAAGATTTTGTAGCAATGGTGATGGATGTTAACAGACTGACTGGGGTGATTATTTTGCAATGTATTCAAATATCAAATCTTGGTTATACACCTGCAACTAATATAACGTTATCTGTCGATTAAACCTCAATTTAAAAAATCTGTGTACGTTTAGTATCGTCTAGGGTAAAATTTCTTTATTTAATATGCATTTCTATGTTTAATTATTCACTTCCTGCTTTATGAGTTTTTTGCTTTCATCTGAATTAATCAAACATTTTTATTCCAATTTTCTCTCCTTAATGTTGCTAGTTACACATTTTTTTTTTTACTATTCTTTTGGTGGTTACCATAGAGACTACAATCTATATTTATACTAATATAAATTAGCCATTTTACCAGTTCTCTGAGAATTCAGACCTTAGAATGCTTTATCTCTAACCTTTTCCCCTTGATGTTATTGATGTTATTTTAGTTACATACGTTTTATAAGACCCGACACTTAGTTGTACAGATTCATCATACATATTTCATGTAGCAAATGCTTATTATAGTCACCCACATATTTCCCTTTCGTATTCCTCTTTATTCCCTCGTGTGTTTCCTACACTTAGGTACGTCCTACACTTTTGAGAGATAAGGTATCTCTTTATCCTGAAGAACTTGTTAGCATATATTTTCACGCGTACGTATGCCCGGTCGGGGATAATCCGAGACCGGGAGGCGAGGCGGCGGGGGGAGGCCGAGGCTTTACTCCGCCCTCAGTGCTGGGGCGTGGTTGCGCCCTGGGCGCCGGGTCCAGATGAGCCGCCGCTCGCAGGCTGTCCATACGGCCGGCCCCCGGCCGTACTGTTGTGGAAAGCCAACTGTCAGGGTAACCGCGCTTCTCACAGAGCATTGTCTGTGCCCTCCGGCTGCCTCGAAGAGACAGCGGCTGGTGTGCGGCGGGTTTCGTGGGCGGTGGGTCTGTGCATGTGCGTGTGTGCGTGTGTGTGCATGTGTGTGCGTGTGTGTGTGTGTCCTCTCGGGTTCTGAAGCGGCTCCTGAAGGTGTGCTTTCACTGCCCGTCGGTCAGGAAGTGGCTTTCCAGTCTCCTCCCCTGGAGCGGATCCTCTGGTTTGTGAGCAGATCGTCGGCCCCAAACGCACATTTAACCGAGTGATCGCCTCTCAGACCTTCCAGACGCATGGAGGCCGCAGCCAGGGCTCCTCTGCAG